TGTCAATCTTCAGCTGTCTCTATCTAATGCCCTAAATAAGGCATGAAAAGATAATTTCAAAATTTTAAAATAAATTAAAAAAAAAAGATATTTTACTTCAATTACAGTAAAGACATTCAGATGGGAAAATATACAGATCCTTTAATTGCTCATGTATAAATATGAACTATCATTTAGAAGTTCATTATCAAAGAAGTTCAGTGTAAAATCTGACCGAAAATGTGCTTCTAATGGCATCATCTGTCTTCTCACAAGTCAGGTTTATTTGCAGAGCCCAGTATCACCATAATGGTTTAATAGGCTTTACAACCACATACCAGCAACAGTTCATGACCCAGCTCAAGTTCTCAAAGAAGGCGAGGAGAACATGTGGGCAGTGGGAGAAACCTCCCTCTGGACAGACAGACAGAGAGAGAGAGAGAGAGAGACCCTCTTCTCAGATGATAACAACCCCAAAAATTAAGAAGTTGTTAATATCAATAGATGTACAAAGCCCATCAATAGGATTGTTGTACATTCATGAAAGTTTTAAATTAGTCCAATATCAGTTTGACATAGTGTTTCCAAATCATCCCTACTCCAAGACATATTTCGGGGGGGTTTAGCGTTGTTGTTGAGCAGTACTTGGACTGGACTATACGATGTGATTCACCTACTAACAAGCCTTCCTCTCTCTTCTCTGTCTCACCATAGAAGCAGCAGGCCGGCTCAGGTGTGGATCGGCAGGCTGGTGTCGGTGGTACCCAACAGGCTCTGACGGTGATGGTTCAGGGACAGGGCCAGACGACCGGTCAGCTGCAGGTCATACCTCAAGGGGTCACCGTCATCCCAGGACCTGGTCAGCAGCTTATGCAGGCAGCCCTGCCCAACGGCCAGGTGCAGCGCTTCCTCTTCACCCCCTTGGCCTCAGCTGCCACACCCACATCAAGCACAGGTACAATAAGACACAAGCAGACAGATTCGTTTTGGTCTTGCCGACCACTAATTTCAAGGCAAACACTTAATAAATAAAATAATTCTGAAAATGAAGTGTGTTTGAGTTAAAATCCTATCTTAGAGCATTTAGGATATGTGCATGCATATCTCTCATTTTCAAAGGTGACATTTTTATGATGACTGATTCTCCTGCTCATCTCTGACCTCTCTCTCTAGCCACCACAGTACCCGGCCAGCCCAACTCCACGTCCACCAAAACCCCAGCCCAGCAGGCTGCCGCCCCCATCCAGGCAGGGGCAACCCCCTTGGCCACCACCAGCACCCCTTCATCTGCCACCCCACAGGGCCAGTTGCCCCCTCAGACACAGGCTCACATGCCCATCCAGTCTCCCACCTCGTTGCAGGTGAAAGCGCAGGGAGGAACTGCCCAGCTGCAGCTGCAGCAGACACCACAGCTCATCAGCATGTCTGGACTACAGCAGCAGGTACAGGTATGATTAGCAAAGAGACATTTTGATTGGTACTGTAAGGTCAGCCATAACCTCACTTCTCTGATGCAGCAACATGGTGTCCAGCAATAGGAGACTGTATTGGGCAAAACTGGTATAAATGTTAGTATGTCGGTAGCAAGCCTGATTTTAAAAAAAAAAAAAAAAAAAAAAAAGTAACCCAGGTCATTTAGTGACCTAATTTAATCTGTCCAGCTCTATTAAATTAAAGGTGCCTATAATGTAGTTGACGGTGTGATCTAACTCATCTAAATATAGGTTTTATAGGAACAAAACCCTGGTTTTCTTTTCAGCTCTCATTCAATTTGTGTATCTTCTGTGTTGTGACCGCAGGTGTTGGCCCAGCTGCAGGCCCAGCAGGGTGGAGGCTCTCTGCCACAGCACATCAAACTGCAGCTTCCTTTCCAGATACAACAGACCGGGACCACCTCAGCTCAGGGAGGACAGGTAGGGCAGCAAGCCTACTAAACCAGATGCAATATTATACCTTCATAGGACCGAGTTTTGAATGTCGTAAAATTAGAGGAAAAATATCTAGAAAGCCGGGATTTAATCATTTGAAATCAAACCAATGCAGCATCATTCAGTGCATCAGTTGAGTAATCGCCACTGTTTCACACATTTTTAGACTTGAATATTTGATCTTGTATATCTTATCACATTACGCTGTCTGCACAGATTGGGAATGTAGTGACCATCCAGGCAGCTTCTGTCCAAGAGCAGCTGCAGAGGATCCAGCAGCTCAGAGAACAGCAACAGCAGAAGAAGAGACAAGCTGCAGAGGCCAAGAAAGAGCAAGCCCTCAACGCAGCCAGCCAGAGCGACATTATTCAGAAACAGGTGAGTCTGTGAGCGTGCTCGAGCACCCATCGTAGCCAGGTCACCCATCTCTCTCCCTGCCATCAGTACGTTAACAGTCACCATTCTCCAACCCTCCACTAAAACTGGGTTTATTTTTACAGCTTGGCCCTGATATATTTGTCATACACATTAAACATCACTAAAGTTACAAAGGCCTGTTTAATTAACTCCATTTCTATTATTTATTTTTTCATTGATTGACATTATGTTATTCTGGTCTTTCTTGTTAAGCATGTGGTTTCTTCTGACACCTTACTTACTGCGTTGTGTGTATAGGTGGTAATGAAACAAAACGCTGTGATCGAGCACCTGAAGCAGAAGAAGACCATGACACCTGCAGAGAGAGAAGAAAATCAAAGGTTTGTATCCAGAATTTGTCACTGTTGGTGTGAAAATGTAGGAATGGTATTTTGCATCTATTTTTGTGTCAATGCAAACGGTTCATATTGAAGTGTTTTGTAGTACTACACAATCAATATATGATCAAAATCGCAACATTAAACGCAATATGCAAATTGCAGATGTACTTTTTAGATTAAGGTTATAGTGGAGTATTGTAGTGCTGCAGAGATGCCCTGGCCAACAAATCATGTTCTCCAGATGTAATAAAACATTTTTGTTTGGTACAGAGCCCAACAAATGTCACATCATCATGAGTTTTATAGTTTTTCAGTGAAAATAAAAATTGTGATTTTATTCCCACTAATCGTGAATCATATTGCAATTGCAATATCTGTCAAAATAATCACAATGTGATTTTTGTTTTGTTTTTACTATATTGTGCAGGCCTAGTGTGTTGAGTCATCACCTATCAGACCACACACACTGTAACAACAGGTTTCTGAAACAATGCACCACAGAAATGGAAACAACAGCACAGGAATTATGTTTAGTGTTAGGTGAGACAACTCCTTTGTTGTACTGATGCCTTCTTATGCATCCGTGTTCTGATCATATGGAACTGTAACATCGTCACAGTCTATACACTATCCTCTCCTCTCTCCATTTGGCTTTTGTCCAACACCCCAATGGGAGGTACTACACAGCATGGGAACGTTAGGGTGTGTAACCACCAACAGCTGCATGTACTCACAGTGACCCTTACAGGCAAGAACACAAAGACAACCCCATTTATAAACGCAAGAAGTTTCATAATGAAATCACACAAGGCCCTTTCAACCTTACACCCATTTGTAGGGATGTTGCAAGTTTAAACTTCTGTGTAAAAAGTCTATTAGCTTGGGATCATTTTGCCAAATAATTGAGAGAAAATCTTTTCTTTGTACCTAGGGGGATTCTCAAATACTGATGGTTTACTTTAACTTAGTATTGCGCTAGTGACAAATACTACTGTTGGTGTACTGGTACTTTTTTATCAAGTGACTTAAGACCAAATTGCAGTTCCTACTAGACTTTCTGACTTTATAAAGACCCAGTGTCAAGATGTTTATTAGTTTACTCCTACCTTAAAGAAGGTCTAGTTTTATTCTGTTAACTATACTAAATAAAACTTAAATCTATAAAATGAAAGTCAGAGTAGTGAAGTGTTTTGAAAGGCTTCCCTGCTGTTTTATATAATGTACAAAGATTATACTCTGACCTATAGTTGACCCTGACAACCATGTGTTTATGTCCACAGACAGTGTGTCAACACTGTGCCCATTCACACAAACCTGAAATACCAAACCCAGACTACCGTGACATCACTAGAGCAGCTCTGTCTGTTGTCTGTCTCTCTGCTTATTTTTCATTCTTTTTCCATTTCTTCATGTCATCCTTTTCTCTCGCTTTCCCTTCTAAACACGACTCTGTTAGCAGTGACCTCGAACTCTGACATCAGCTCGCGTGTGTTTGTGTGTGTCCTGTTTCATTAGCCTCCTCCACTTTCCACGCTGCATTTGCAGTGTGTACTTCAGTGTACACGCTGTAGGAACCCTGGCCCATCCTCGACCTCAGCAGCCACGGACATGTTTGTGTGCTATTCACACAAACGTGCACTGAACGCAGCATTCTGTTGCTGAGCGTGAACCGACCGTTTTCAATCTTAGTCGTGAATCTTGGCGAACACAAGTGAACATACTGTGGAAACAGAGCCATAAATTATCTTGATTTACTGTAATATACAAAAATCTTCGTTTTTTTTTTGTATCTCCCTGATTTTTTCCCCTGTTAATTGCCTGACATTTCTTGTACTATCTTTTGAATTGCCAGGATTACACACTAGAAACCTACACACAACCCTGAAACCCCATATGCATTTTAATAAGCTTGAATTCGCGTGTGTGACCTCTCTGTCTCCCTTTTCCCATGTTTACAAGAGCACTGTGGCTTCTCAGTCGTCCTCTATCTGTCCATCTCTCACCATACCTCTCTTCCAATCCTCGGCTCCACTCCCCTGCTACTGAAGCACAGAGTCTCATACAAATAAACACTGGACAACCAAATACCCCCTCTAACATCTGTAAGACACGTGGCCCAGTAACACGACTCATTTGACTGCTTGGTTCTCACAGGGATGATGACACAACTGGGTCGGTTTTAGAAAGAAGCTATGTTAGGTTCAGGATTTTAAAAGAATATGTTGTTTGATTGTGCGATTGGTCATACAGAAAGTGTTCAGTCATTTTGGGTTTTTTTTTAGAAGCTGCAACCGTCCACCCCCCGAAGCATTTCCAAGCATTACAAGTGGAAGTTGTTTGCTTTACAGTTTGCTTTTCCAAGAGTTTGTTTTTGTGTTTTAACCCTTGTTTGATAGTTCACAGCAGAGAAAGGAGAGATTTAGAGCCAGATAGGGATGGGATACAAGTCCAGGACTTTGTAGTTACATGCCTTACACAACTGACCCACCAGAATGCCTCATGGACTTGCACTGAGAGAAATACTCTCATTGTTCATTGACACGCACTGCCATTTCTTACATGTGGAAATTTAGATATTATTGAAGTAGCCAATGGCTGTGCAGGTTGCACTTTCTGAAACATTGAAGCATTGTTTAGATCAATGCTCCGCTCCTGCCCACTGGTCTGTCAGAGGGATAACTTTCTTCCTCTGTGACTTCGACTGTACTTACTCTGAGTTCAAGATTCAGATATGTGATAATCCTTTCCCTTCCTGCTCTTTTATCCGTCTCTTCTGTTATGTGTATTTTAAAAATACTCTGAATGGGCCACAGCCCTGTTTCACATGGGTCCTCATTAGATTCAGTGCAGCTATTTCTTGAGCTGTGTTTTTAGGCAAGGCTATAAATGTTTCTACTGTATTCAAGGGGCTGTTCGATAAAGCTGTACAGTACTTTACTATTCTGTGCAATGTGCCTTTAGAATCCCCTGTCAGGAGGTTATAAGTCTGTACTTCATTCTTTTCCCATCTTACCATCTCCTGTTTGTGTCTGCCCAGGATGATCGTATGCAACCAGGTGATGAAGTACATCTTGGACCGGATAGACAAGGATGAGAGACAGGCGGCCAAGAGGAGGAAGAAGGAGGAGGTGGTGGAGGCCAAGAGGAGGTTGGCCAACGCCAGCAAGCTCTCCTCGCTCCTTTACCGGCACAAAGAGAGCCTCAAGATGGAGATCCTGAAGAAGCGGGCGCTTCTCGACAAGGAGCTGCAGCTAGAGGCCCAGGTATGAAGGCAAAACGGCAGACACAGCCTGTTTCCCTTAAGATGTTATCCAGCATTAACAATTTGCATAATGCATATACTCAGCAATAATTTCAACCCCATCCGTCCTGACATTGTACTCCTCAGGAGGAGCTAAAGAAGGACCTGTTGCGGATGCGGAGGGAGAAGGAGAGGGCTCAGGCTGCAGCCCACCAGGCTGCCCAGGCCGCTGCTGCCGCCGCCGCCGCCGCAGCCGCAAACAGCCAGGAGCAACATACTCTGGCACACTCGCATGGCGTCGCCTCTCAACACCACCTCACCACGACTGCCACCTCCACACACAAGAGGAAACGGGAGGAGGAGAGGGAGACTGCGACGTCAGCCAAGTCCAAAAAGAAGAAGATGATCTTGACAACGAACACCAAGGAGAGCAAAAAGGACACCAAGCTCTACTGCATCTGCAAGACGCCCTACGATGAGACCAAGTATGATGATGCTCTCGATTTTATTACCCAGAAGGGGAGCAGGGTAGTAGTAGTAGTAGTAGTCACAGTAAAACACCATTTTAAATAAAGAATTCCCAAAGACAGGAAAAAAATAAAAATCTCATGGCCCATTTGACCAGTGGAACTTTTCCATCAACCTTTGTTGGAACTCAGAAACTTAAAAGGCATTTCAACTGCAAGTTCAAGTTTTGGTTCCAAAAAGTCCCAGCTCGTGAGGTTGTACTTTCCAATGGTCCAGAAACGATAAGGATAGAGTTTACAGCACTGAACTTTGCTGACTGGTTAAACACAAGCTTCCAGACTGCAGAAGATATGACCCATATCTCTACATAGAAACTCATATAAATCAGTCCACAGACCACCGAGAAAGTTGATCCTCATTTTCTAAGTTACGTTACAACCCATTCACACATTGGCCATAAAAACGTGTTAATAAATAAAAATAATAAGTAAAATGCTTCAGAATCTTACATATGGAACCTTTAACAAACTAATGACAAACTTTAATAACCATGATAAAGTTTGATATGTTTATTGACATCCTGTAAACTAGTGACGCCTTCTTATCCGTTTTCTCTAAAGGTTCTACATTGGCTGCGACCTGTGTACCAACTGGTATCACGGAGACTGTGTGGGCATCACGGAGAAGGAGGCCAAGAAGATGGACGATTACATCTGTGTGGAGTGTAAACGGGGCCAAGAGGGCAGCACAGAGGAGTTGTACTGCATCTGTCAGACACCGTACGACGAGTCCCAGTAAGGAGCTGCATAAGTGTGTGTGTGTGTGTGTGTGTGTGTGTGTGTGTGTGTCTCACTCTGCTTGTGTTCTCATGTTTGGCGAACTGGGCAATACTGTAAACAGATCATCAGTGTTGTTGCTTTCATTGTAAAACTGGGTTGAGAGACATAATAGGAAATAATATTTCAAATGTACAATTATAGCAAATAGTATAATAGGATAGTAGTGAATACTGAAATTAATCCGGAATGGGAAAATATTATCAAAAACATCACATACAGTTCATCCAAAACATGTTGTATGGTTTATGAAAAATAACACCCATCTAAAGCTAGCAACAGTGGGCTGCATCCCAGTAGCACTAATATAACCTGAACAAATTTAGTATCATTAACATTTAAACATGTTTTGTAACATGTCAATAAAGAGACAATATTGGAAAGATGTATGTGTCTCTAACCCCGTCAAGACCTCACCAGAAGTTACCACGCACTTAATATGTCACAAGTCAATCTGATTATAAAGAAACAGAAAAAAGGTTAAGTTTGGAAATGTTTTTTGTTTTTGCTTACTATCTTCTCTTTTGATTAGTTATAACAAGTTCTTTGTGTTTTTTAACACATTGAATACAATGCAAACGGTAAATATAGTAAATACGTCCTGCCTTCCCAGGTTCTACATCGGCTGTGACCGGTGCCAGAACTGGTACCACGGTCGCTGTGTGGGCATCCTGCAGAGCGAGGCCAACCACATCGACGAATACGTGTGCCCACAATGCCAGTCGACAGAGGACGCCATGACGGTCTTCACGCCGCTCACTGACAAAGACTACGAAGGCCTGCGAAGAACACTGCGTTCCTTACAGGTAAACAGCAGATGTATTGCAGCTGCACAAACTCACATGCTCACAGCGCATTGTGATATAGCGGTGGATTAAATGTTGGTACAGCAGTCAAGCTAGATCCCAGCATCCAAAGTGTAAAACACCATGGTAAAAAAGATTATACACTGGCAAAAGTTAACCCTATAAATGGAGTAAAACTATGCAGTTCAGGTGTACTATCTGCTACATCAGAATACTCTCAGCAGTAGCTGTAGTTGTAGTTTTATTACAAGCAATAGACCGGCTCCTTGTCGCCCCACTACAGTGTAAGAGCAGCAAACAAAAGTCCTCTGTGTCCATCTTATCTGATGGGTTCAGCTCTCCAGAGTGCTACTTGGATAACTGCCTGGCCTCGACATTTTTTTTGGCGGCCCTTTCTTTTCTCTTCCTCCTCCTACCTCTTCTCCTCTCATTTTCTCCTCCTCTCTCCAGTGGTCTGAAAGAGAGATAGAAGTGGGGAAGAAAGCAAGAGAAAACATCTGTGTTGACCCACCTGCTTCCAGTGTCATCTTCATGGCACTGTTTGTTGTTCTTCATTGGTTTCAGCTCTCTCAAGTGTCTCGTCTTTCTCTTTATCTCTCCCTCTTCGGGGCCCTCCCTCCTCTACAGGCACATAAAATGGCATGGCCGTTCCTGGAGCCAGTAGACACAAATGACGCCCCGGACTACTACAGGGTTATCAAGGAACCAATGGGTGAGTGGAGGAAATGTGTTAAAGCTTTGTCCGCATAACACACACAAACACAATCGTGAATACTGACAGCAAGCTTTGTAATTGCTGTTTCCCAGCTACTGTAGCCTCCAATCCCATTTGGGCCAGCCGTTATGTCTGTATTTGTGCACATATTGAGCATATTAACTGCATTCACTGGTCTGCTTTGGAAGCCATTTTTCCACTGATGGCCTCTTTGAATGAGGAAAATCTAAAGTAGCTTACAAATGTTGCATGTTTTAGCTCATTAACTAACAATTGCATGTACTTAGGGGGGGGGACTGTTTTCCGCAGCATACCATGCTTTCTGATTAATGTGCTTTTACTACCTTTGTTTTCATTCATTCATTTTGTGAGTGTTTGTGAGTTAAACTCTTTACTGAAACAGTGTTTTGAGCTATTGAACTGCAAAGTGGCACAATTAAAAACAAAATTTTGATAATAGTGTAAGTCATTTATCAAGGTAAAATACTAAATATTTGCTGGTTCAATCTTCTCAAATGTACAAAAGTGCTGCCCTTTTCTCTTATGTGTTATTGTTAATTGAATATCTATTTCATATTGGACAGTTGGTTGAGCAAAATGAGCAACTTGACTCACCATCTTGGGATTTTGGAATACTGGAATTTTTCACTGTTATCTGACATCTAACAGACATGATAAATGATTAATGGATTAATTTGGAACATGGTCATTTGAATTGATAGTGAAAATAATGGATAAAGTTGCACCCCTAGATTATATAATACAAAATAAGAAGAGGACATAATACCAAATATCATAGGAAACTATTAAAGGAAATCGGGGTTCCTGGCTATATTTTCTGAATGCAGAGCTCTTCAAACTTGAAACATCATATCGTTTGTGGACTGGCAAACTTTTAGTGTTGCACTTTGTGGCTCTGCTGTGTAGGAAAATATAAAGATTCTCGTGAATCAGCAGATGCCCAATACTGAATTACCTAAACTTGGATTGGGATCCTTAAATCAGAAGATAGAATTGCCTCAGTAGTTCTGTTTTCATTTCATTATTCATTCATGCTTTAGGCAATTATGAAGCTGTAGCTTCTTACTGGAAGCAACACCCGGTTTCTGTATGTTAAACCTTAAAACACAGCCACCAGGAGGCCAGCAGGGAGGAAGCCCTCCAACTCAGATCAAACTGGCCATGTAAATGGGGACTTGCGTCAACAGGGCCTTTTTGAACTTCCACACAAACAAACCGTTAATGAACTGGTCCGAGTCTGCCGGGCTCCCTGTGGAAAGGGATCAGCCCCACACTTAGCTCCTGTTGGCCCGGTCCTGGAAACTCTAGTCCTCCCCTCTCCCTTCCACCGCAAGAAAAAGACCTTGTTGGTTTTCAGAAAATAAAAAGCAGCACTTGGCTGGTATAGCTGCTGCCGTTGGTAGTTTTTGGAGGGTTTCGAGATGAAATCTGATGACAGAGAAGAAGGAGGTCTTTGATATTGACCATAAGGTTTGTAAGCCCCTGGCCAGCTGGGTGGGGGTTAAGGAGGTTAAGAGTCGGATATGTTTGTTTAAAACGCAGCTCCGGGGACGCCGTGCAGAGAAAACCACCGGCAGCAGGAGATTATATGAAGCCTCGGCTGTTGCCAGTTAGCTTCCTCACTAACTCAATCTTATTTTTTTCACTTCCTAACTTGATTTAACCAGGTTAGTAACACTGAAAGCTTTTGTCATGGGAGACCTGGACTTAGAAGCACTTATTTGACACTTGGATAATGACGTTGAGATAATGACGCTCTCCTCAGGAATGACAAATCGGTCAGATCTCAGTAACTGATCTGGAAGGCTGAGTAGATCGAGGTTAAAGCTGGCAGAGGTTTTGGATTTTTGCTGTCACATATAAAGTGATGAACTGTGCTCCCAGGAAACATATTTGAATGTCTGTCAAACACATGCCACATAAGCTGCAATTACTTTGAAGCAGACATGCTGATTTGTGGAACAAAGTCGATTAGGAAAGCCAGATATTTATCTGCTGCTTCCGCATATGTGATGTTTGTCTCTGGCCAGAGTTGGCCAATAAATTTTGTTGTTTTTTTTTTATTCATTTCTATAACATACTGTTCATATAATCGTTAACCAAAAATGTTTTTTAAATCCCCCTTTCTTAGACCTCTCTACCATGGAGGAGAGGTTACAGAAGCGCGAGTACGTCAAGCTGACGGAGTTTGTAGCGGACATGACCAAAATCTTCGACAACTGCCGCTACTACAACCCCAGTGACTCGCCCTTCTACCAGTGTGCCGAGGTTCTGGAGAACTTCTTTGTCCAGAAACTCAAAGGCTTCAAAGCCAGCAGGTAAGATTGGGATAATAAGCACTGATGAGGAAAAGAAACACAAAATGGCAGCAGGTGACTTTGAGAAAAGGGAGGCAGTTTAAACCCCTCAGAGAGCATCCACACTGCAGAAAGAAGTGTCTTTAAGGGGGAGACTAAGTCATTAGCAGTTCCAGCTGTGACTCTGACCTCTGACCTCTCTGGAGGTTGGGTAGAGACTCTCTAGTGAGAGCAATAAAATGTAACTTGTCATGGAAAAATACATGTCAGACACTGGTGGAGTTCATTGACTCCCTCTTCTCTTTGATTTCCTGGATCACCATCTTGTGTTTCCTCTATAAACATTTAAATCATTTAAGATAACTTTTTTTTTGTCCTTTTGGGTCATGACTGAATGCTCGTACAACCAGCAGGCTTCTTCTGTCTCTGATACAAGTCAGCGAAACACTGTACCTTTTTTAAGAATGATATATAATATTTATTATTATTTTAAAAGCTTGAATTGTTTAGAGAGCTGCAAGGGATGGATTACTTTCCCTACTTTAGCTTTTTTTCTGCAGACTGTATGAGCTCTCAGTCACAACCTTGATTTTTACAGTTTCATGTTGGTGGTATCGTCATTCAGCCTTCAGTCAGCTGATTTTACACCCATAACAATATATCTGCTTCAGCTTTCACATGTTATAAAGTGATATATCTTCTGCTTTGTTGTTTAGTGGAGTTATGGACTTTGGGCTTTTACCACCCACTGTAAGGAATCATTCATTTAAAACCAAAAAAGCCCAACCTCAGCCAAAGGAAAAGCCAAGTTTTTACTTTTTCATCTTACCACTTGTACTGCATAGGCAGAGACATTTAAAACAAAACTGGTGCTTAACTCAGCTCAAACCTGCTGGATCAGGGTTTTTCAGGTTCAGGGCTGAGAACCAAAGTTCTCTTTCATCTAAGCCATTTTACAAACCCATTTCTTTATGGCCATAACGCCGTTGCCGCCATCCTCGCTGGGGTCTGGGGTTTGGGCGCAGCTGTTTCTACGCAACAAATAAGCCTCGATAACTCCACTATCTGCTCGTGCTTGGTCGTGCCTCTAAACTCACCTCATGCATTGCCCTCGCTGCGTGATGTGATTGCTTTGGTTGGATGCACACTACAAGATCTTAGCAACAGGTTGATCAGTATATACATATAATACTTACTGTCGTTTAAATGGCTTTGACTCTCCTTTAATTTGGCTATTTGCTGAAGAAAAAGCTTTCATGATGAGTTTAAGTGGAGGCTTTGTCTCACCTCGACACACACACGGATTTTCTAAGAGCATTTCAGCTCTGATGTTTAGTTAGTTCAGCAAGTCTTGTGGTTTGCATCCATCTCTGTGTGCTTATAACGGTGATGTGCTTCACCTGCGTGTATTTACACCATCCATTCTCTCTCTCTCTCTCTCTCTCTCTCTGTCTCTTTTGCAGATTGTGATGTCAAACTCCTGGGTGCCGGGGTCACTCTTAAAACAAACAAAAAAATAATAATTTGCTATCCCGGATGTTGCTGTTTTCACTTGTTTAAAACAGCGTTCAAAACTTTGTAAGAAAGTGCATATATTACGCCACACTGTAGGTGTGATTCTTTTTTATTTTAGAAGCAAAGGAAAAAGTTTCTACTGTCTAATAAATGGCAGCCATGTTGGTAACACAAAGCATTCAAGGGAAAATGTATTTTCTTACACTTCTTGCAACAGATGACGGATATTTTGTTTATGTTTGAGTTGAATATTAGACAAAATATGAACTTTGTCATTCTCTTTCTTGAGATTCAGTTTTGAAAAAAACAAACACAGCTATTGATTTTGAAATCTGACTTAAGTTCCACACACAGAGATAACTTATCTTTTAATTTGACAGAACTCTTGTTTATCGTCTTGGTCATAACATGCTGCAGCCGAACATTTTTACCTCATTTCTTAGCCGAGAATTTTAAAAAAGCATGCAACATTTATTAGTTTCTTTTTATTGGCTGTACCCGTGTATAATGTTATTTCATGTGCATATTATATCTTTTTGTGAAGGACTATTTTTATGTTCTAAAGGAAATAATGGTAGGATCTGTAAAGATAGATTGGAGAAAAATTTAGTTTAGCTTTCCTGTTCTAAATATGGCAAGCTTGACAGTCTCCAGTTTAAAAAAAAAGTCCTTGTATATACACTGTTGGGCCAACATCACATCATACACTTCAATAACATTTCACCAACATGGCTGCTTGGTCTCCGTCAAAGTGTCTGACCCACTGGCATCCAATACATGTTTTTGTTTTGTTTGTTTTTTGTTTTTTGTATTTCCCCTAGTGCATATTTTTGTCATATTGTAAAGCTTTTAATAAAAAAGGAAATGACAAGAAGTTTTCCAACTGTTTTCTTCCTCCTCTCTTTGCCCGTCTCTGTAGGTCTCATAACAACAAACTACAATCAGCAGCCTCTTAGCTCCCTCCTAAAATCAAAAAGACAGGCCTTGAGGTTTCCTCTGAATGATTAAGCCCCATGGTCCAAGTCAGGCACAGCTCAACTTTCAACACCTCATTGCAGTGCTAAAGGGAAGAGAAAAGCCCTTTTCCTTCCAAAGTGTCAGTGGGACATAATGGCAAAGAAGTCCCACCTTCAGACCAGGGGCAAGGGCTCCACTGACTCTGTTGGCAGCCTGTTTCATCCCAACCAGTCGTTCCTACCAGTGCGTCTCATCCATGAGAAGAAATATCCAAATGGGGAAACGCAGAGGAAGTTGATAAGTTGGCTGGTTTGTAAGTTCAGTGGCAGTCGGCGGCAGCAGCAGACTCGTGTTCATTCTGTAGCCGCTCGCTATTTTTGTTTATCCTATATAGCAGTGTCAGCTTTGATCTTCCCACCGAGAGGTCGAACTTTGATTTCATACTGTCACATTTTATGATGACCCAAACATCCCATTAAAGCCCCTGCTTCACATGGAAAGGTCAGTGAAAACTGAAATCCCCCGTTTATGCATCACACGCGGATGAATGCGGAAGCTGCATCCATGTGCAGTATCGTGGAGTTCATTCTTCTCATATTCAACCAGTGTACATCTGAAAGCAGCATTTTATTAGGAACAAGTGCTGCTCTTTTTCCCCCACCAGAAAAAAATAACCCCATTGAAATTTTCTCTCAGACCCACTTCATTCAGCCAACGTCTGTCACAGTGTCCTCTTTCATGTTTCACACCCATCTTAACTGTGCCAGTGTTTTGTTTTTGTTTTTTTGTTTTTTTTTACCGTACCCTCAGGTGTGTAGCCCTGCACGAAGCATGAACCTCATAAAGCCCACTCTGTGGCACATCAAATATGACTGTCAGTGGTACGTTTCACTGTACGTTCCCTATCACAGTAGCCTCATGCTGAGATGCTCCATTCGTAATAGAATCTAGATGTCTTAAAAAAAATTCATCAGGAGATTCATTTCTCTGTCTGATTAACATCACCACATATGGGCGTAGACAGCGCTCAGTCAAGTAATTCAAGGGGTCTTCATTTTGTCTCGGGGCTGTGTTACTTTCATGTTAATTTCCAGAGGGAAACACCCAGGACAGGCCATCCCACCCACCACATCCTGCCCCTCTTCTGACCTTGTTCCCATTTTGTGTTCTTCTCTAATGCAAGTGAAGAATGCTAACTAGCTCTGTGCTCCTTTTTAAAAAAAATTTTTTTTGAAGGTGGTCAAGGACAAGAAGCGATGTAAACGAGACTGTTAGGCCTTCAGGGAAGGTGAAACTTGTACAAGGCTTAACTAACCTACGTGTGCCGTACCTCCCTCCATGCACACACCGTCTCGTCAAAGCTCTTGTTTCTGTCAGAGGCTGAGTCTGTAAGTCTCTGTCCCCTTATCTATCAGCCACTTCTTCCAGCATATTTCATTGAAGTTGACAGGTTGGCTCACATATGTCTCTCAACTCGCCCTCAAAGCATGGTTAAGTAATTGGATAATGGACTTTTCCACTCAGCATCAACTCAGTTATGTTGCGGTCTGCGGCAGCATGTCTGGGAGTAAACTTTGAGTGGGGACTGGGGAGTCTTTGTACCGTGGGGTTTGTATGAAAATTTTATAGCTGCATTTTTAGCATATTTGGGAACATTTTTGTAATCTGTGATTATCAGTTTTGTAGGAGGGGAGCAGTCATAAGACACAGTTGTCTTTACGTTGTTCAACAGTTTAAAAATAAGCAAATGTTTCTGTTTCAATCAGTGTTTTTTTTTTATTATTTTGTAAAATAAGCAGGGTTGAGAGATAATGTAGCTTCTGTCTTCTTTTCTGTGTTTGTGTCTTTCACACAAATGTCCTTCACTTTGTAATCTGATGAAGATGTGTTTCATCCACTGTTTGTAATCTTGTATATTATGGTTGTCCAAATATGTAGAGATGATAGATTTTTAGAGCAGTAGAAACTTTTATTTTTCACTCTTTGAACCAGCAACTAAGCCCGCCTGTATATTTTAACTGTCTATTTTTTCTCTTTAATTGAAGTGAACTCTACATTTAGGTGAAATTGCCCTTTATATTAAAAGTGCTGCATATTGTGAGCATACAGGTTTTAAATGGGGTAGAGTGACACAGTTAACTCTTGTAAAGAGTTGTTCTTTTTTTTTTTGTAAGAAACCAACCAGTTCAACATAACTTCTATATTGACATTGCATTTCTTGTATTATTTATTCATATCAATGAAAAGTTCTCAGTTTTTTGAGTAATGTTGAAGAAACGTAACTGCAGATAAAAAGTACTCTATGTTTTTAACAGATTGTGGCAACTCCGAAGATATTCTCTTTTGTACTCGATAGGACATTTCATCCTAGGTAATAAAGTAATGTTTTTGACACCAGTTTTAAACAGGGTTGTATTTTCTTTGATCATCTATGTTCATTACACACTAGATACCAATTTATATTACCTTATCATACAGGGCTATCAAAGTTTGATACCGTGCATTGTATTCATATTTAACTCTTGCGCTTTACTTGCATTATGAGTCTATTTATTCATAAAGCACCCTTTAAAAACAGAGTGCTAAACACTTTGTACAGAAATCAAGATCAGTGTCAGATGAGACATTTTGCAGGACCTGGGAGTTAGAGACAGGATGAAATAAACACATAAGAGATCATCTCCATCTCAATGGGCCTGAGTCTCCCAGTGTTCCTCAGCTAACATGATGACACCTGGATTTTGCATGGAAGATTTAACAGCAGGGGAAAGAGAATTGAGAGCTTTAATTAAGCACAAGGCTGGGTGTGGCAGAAATAACATCTGTTTTGGCAGTATTGAAATGATCTGCCTTTCATTTATAGTGTTTAAGTAGTTAAGAAAGGAAATACCTTTAAAATGACATTTTATGGGACATCCCTGTGGCTTAGGGGCTTCTGTGTAGGGTCGCGTTGCGTCACTTAACCGAGCACCAAGCACTTAAAAAAAAGCACATTTAATTAATTTAATATTATGGTGCTTGGAACTGCAATGAATCTCTGTCTCTCTTATTTGCTGTCACCCCTACATTTGTCTTTTTTTATTATCATTTTTAAAAGACCAAAAAAAAGAGAATGATTCATCATCTGTTCAAGGGGAAGCATAAACTACAAGGAAAAAGAAAACTATTTGATTGCTTGACATGAAATTCTATACTAACATTTAGTTTCCAGAGAATTCTAATAATGTCTCTGATGATCCTCTAACTTTCCTTGCAGCATAAGCTTTTGTAGTTTTAAATGAAATGTAATGGATTGATGAAAATGAATGAAATGGATTTCATGAAAATTTCTACACACGTTTAAGATAAAATGTAATCACTTTGCTTATCCTTCGGTTTATGACCAAACACTAGCAAAACTCAAAAAACGATAGCATGCTAACATGCTAAAGTAAGATGGTGAACACGGCATAAACATTATACCTGCTTCACGTCAGCATTGTTAGCCTTATTATGAGAATGTTTGCATGCTGACATTAGCATTTAGCTCAAGGCACAGAATCACAGTGCCGCTAGCACGGCTGGAGACTCATCTTTGAGAAATAATTTGTGTCAAATGCCAGGAAGCAACTGTTCTGCAACAAGGCCCGGTCACAGTCAGGCTCCAGGTTCACCATATGGCAACTGTTGTAATTCAATTACTTGAAAATGTATTTGTTAATACTGTATGCACCACATGAAATACTTGTGAAATTTTTGGAATCTAAGCAACACATGCATTTGCTCCATCCTGTAGTGGGAACCTCAGTTCAAATTTAATTTTAAGGCCTATTGTTTAATAGACACATATTACACTGTAAGCACATTACTAATATGGTGTATTTCATCAATCAAGTGACAACAAACTAATTATTAACTGATAATACAGGCAATGCACAGAGACTGGGAGAAAATGGGGTCTGTTGGGGCCCACAGCTCAGTAAAATAATGCAGCCCTATGTAGCAAGTTCAACCTTCAGCTTAAATCTTGTCAATTATCTGAAGTTTTAAGGGAAATGTGTGCGTACGTCTGAACATTGAAGGGCAAGATCATGACCCCCAACACACTCATACAAACTTATCCTGTGATCAAATTACCAGCATGACACATAAAAGCCAATCCCCCACTCAAACCGCTAAATGAATCCAGAACACCACAGATGACCACAAGCCCCAACTGGTTTCAATCCAACACCCCTTGCCTCTTTCTCTCACTCCCCCCTTGTGGCTTGGGGGCTATCACACAGGAAGCAACTTAGAGATATTCCCACCTCCCCCTCCCGTCTCCCCTTTTTCTCTCCCTCCTCCTCCTCCTTTACATCCTCTGCGATGAGGAATGTCCTCCTGCTGCGATAGTAGCCAAGATGTGGAGCAGGCTCCTGTTTCCTGCCCGCCTGCATCTGTTCCCTCCAGCGCTGATCCCAGATAGAGGCTTCCCCGAGCCTGGGAACTGACCAGCCCAGCTGACAGACGGACAGAGGGGGAGAAAAGAGGCTTAGCCCTGCCTGCCTCAGTGTCCAAGTTCCCAAGTCAGTCTCTCTTCCCGGAGGCCAGACAGAGACCATGTTTGTTAAACTCTAATTAGAGTGTCTTACTTTCGGGGCTCCTTCTCATGCAATCACGGGGAATGATAATGAGGATCAATGTTTCAGTCAGTGGGCAGATGAACGTGATAGCGTGAGTGGAGGGTTGGTTTAAAGACAAATAAATTCCTCACAGGGTCGTTGAGTACAAAACAAATACAAATTTTTATTGGGTTCATGTATAGTAAGGCAATGTAAGCGTTCAGTGCAAATCTTTTCCCTTTCATAAGAAGCATGAGCTCAGGGTCGTACTACAATCAAGCCAGGGATTTCTGATTAAATAAGAAGCTATCCCTATAGAAAGACAGACCCAATATCCCTTCTCCTGCTTCAATCCCCTTCTTGTGTCATTTTACATAACCTTCTTTATTTCTCCTCCACCTTGCCCCCACCTCTCTCTTCCTCTGATCCTGCCTAAATACCCCCTTTTGAGCTTTGGCCTTACCAGAGAAGTACGTGTTTGTGTGTAAGATGGAAAACAAGAGCCATCCCAAAGTGGGGCTGTGACGGAGGCACTTTTCCGAGTCATGTGTCCAGGTGCGGAGAGGATCAGATTCCTGCGATTAGATTTATGGCTTAGTCCCTACAACAACACACCCCCTCCTCATTCAGCAAGACCCCTTTTGATGTCCCAGTCTACTCAGGCAAATATTTCATCGTGGACACATAATTAAAGTTACAAAAATAAGCCGCTATCATGACAAGCAAAGGTCCTGTGCTCTCTCTCTCCCTTTTTCTCCCTCCTCCTCCACTGTGGTTTGTTGCTGCTTTTTCAGGCCCTTCATTCCTTCCCTTTGGTCCTAACAATAATAGTGCCTTTCCTGCTTACCAATAACAACAGTGACCACATGCATGGGGGTGGGTGATACAAAACAACACTATTCAGTGCAATACAATGTTCTGCATTCATATCACTTTATAAGAATCATAAATTAATCAAAGGAATTCACGTTATTAAAATATTGGATTTGTTCAATCAGGTCCAAGGTTCCTGCAATGTAAAAGGAACTGCCACTATTTTGAAAAGCCAATATGTTTGTACGGCAAATACGTTTCTCTTCAAGATTGTGTAAAAGTGTTTTGTTTTGGATCTAGTATTCAGTTAAAAATGGGTGCATGCTTTGAGGATTTACTCAGAAAAAGGATCTTATCCATATGAGTGTTCATATGTGTGCTTGGATTATAATAGGAATAAAGAGGCTGGATCTGACCATGTTTCTCTCTCAGCACAAATATTGGCTGGTTAAACACGTATGAATACAACAGAAAAATGCCCATGCGAATACTGATGCAAAATAAAATTCTATACGCTAATTTTATGCTAAATGGAAAGAAGTGTGCTTCGGATTAGCCACATTTCCCATTAAAAGTGAGACAATTTGATACCTTTTCAATTGAGGGACTTCATGAACCAGCCATGAATGAATGAGGAGTTTGAGTGGAGTTGCTATTTTGAGGAAAATAATAGAGGGCAGAGGGGACAGCCTTAGTACCCCAAACATTACAAAATGATCATGAAAACTCTAATTAATTGAAGCTGCTTGTGTTTTCTATCAAAGAGACCACAAGTCAGTACTTCAGGAACTTTACAGATGAGTAAAAAAAAGATGAATCAGGATTATGATACATCATGGCAGTCCATAAGAAAATAAATCCATGCTTTCCGTGAAATGTCTTCTGTCTTGCACAATACTGAGGGGTTAGTTATGATTAGTTCAGGTAAGCTGCAATGTCTCTTCCCCTGCAGCAGAGGGCAAAAGTCTTATCTTTGCTTCACCTACACCTGGAGCGGGTGGCCTCCAGGGCTTTCTGGTGCCTCCGTTTGTTGAACCTCTTGACGTAGTTGTTGCTTCGCAGGAGGCCGTCTCCAGGCTTCAGTTTACCCCCCAGTAGGTTCAGGAGGTCACTGGGAAGATGGCGCCTCCGGTGGTAGATCTGACCCATTATAATGTATCTGGTCCCTTGGGAACACATCAGGGAAATGTTGAAGTGACGGGAAAAAAGGCACAGTCGAGCAATTTTTATGTTTGCACTAAACAAAGTAGTTGTTACTGCTTTTGCTGACTTCTGGAAAACAGAATTCCCACAACCCACACAAAAAAACTTCAGCAGGAACGACTCATATCTGATTTTAAGCGTCAATCAAAGGACTTTTATCTTTGTATTCTTTAATAAACCACTCAATAAGTAACAACTGATGTAGTCAATAGGTATAGTTCATAGATCGTCCAGGTCATTCGTTTAATGAGGCCTTTGAGAGAGCCCCGCTACACTCACCGAGCTTGATGTCAGGGCAGGGCTTGCTGCACTTGTAGGTATCCAGGACCAGAAGGCGGACTTTGAAGAAAAAGCTGTCTGGGGTCACATAGAGACGACTCATCTTGTAGAAGCCGTCACTGCTCACCATCAGTGTAATGAGACGTATTCCTTTACGCAACACATCAATGTCGTGAACTATGCCATTGATAGCTGTTTGAGAGAAAACATCATATGTCAAAATGTTGGAGCTTCATACCATTATGACTCTTAAAGGTACAATGTGTATTTTAGATGTATGTTGTTTAAATGAATAGTTCAACATTTTGGGAAATACCCTTTTTTGCTTTCTTGTCCGCAGTGAGATGAGAAGATTGATACCACTATGAAGCAAGCCTGCAGCTGGTTAGCTTAGCTTAGCACAAAGACTGAAAACAAGGGGAAACAGCTAGCCTGGCTCTGTACAACAGAAACAAAATCCACCTACCAGCACTTCTTAAGATCACTTATGTACATGTTATAACTGGTTTAATCTTTACAAAAAACTAAGTGTAAAAATGACACATTGTGGTTTTACAGGGTTAAGAGGTTGCCAACAAACGGAGCCCCAAAGAAATGGCATAAAACCTCTGTATTTATTACATTTGGGTTTGTTTTGTTTGGATTCAGCAAACTATCTGATGTATTAATTAGCGAGCTTTAAACATGCTGATAGGTGGAATTTTGTTAGCTTTTTTCCTTTCTTTATTCTAAGCCAAACTAACCTGCTGCTGGCCATATAGCTTCATATGTATTATAATAATATAATAATATATAATATTGGTCTACAATCTTAACATATTTTCCCAAAAGGTCAAATTATTCCTTTAAACTATTTCATATAATGTCAAAATCCATGTTTAGCTGCCACAGTTACACAGTATTTGATTATGAAACTCAAAAATGTAAACAATATTAATTAATTAGTTATTTACTGTCCAGCCAGGTATGTGTTCAGAATGTTCAGGTTTAATGTTTAATTATTTGATAAATTGACCTGTATGGACTGATCAGTATCACAGACTCTACCTTGTCTCTCATTGGGTACATACCAAACTCACTGTAGCAGTAATACTCTCTCTCCTCCTTCTCCTTCCTGCACTCGCTCATGCAGAAGGCATCGTGTGTGAAGTCGGACTCTGCGGAGAAGAAGGCAAGCAGAGGACAGGATGGAGGGATGAGAAGAAGACAAAGTAACTGACTGCCTGCCATACCCCGTACGGAGCCAGACTCTCATTCCAGTGTCATTAGAAAAGGACAAGGTTGTCATTACAAAACCCAGGCATTACATTCCTCTGCACGGGACTGGAGGAGGTGGTACGTGTGATGGGATCACATGGGTGTTACATTTTCCATCTCAATTACAACCTTCTCACTTGCTCTGCATCAGTTTCATGACAACCTCTTCCTCCCAAAAGACTGCACACAAAGGGAGACACTGACAGCCAGATTTGAGGGAAGTGGTTGCAATTAGTGGCAGGGGATGTTCAGTGGAAGGGTAGAAACCATCACTGTCATTATCACTTTCTCTGTGAACTCTATGAACTCTATTTGTTAGTGTGTTTGAAAGTTAGTTAAAGTTTAGTTTAAAGGCATTTGAGTAATTTTGTAGTTTTGTCACGTATAATCCACTTTGGCCCTTTTGGTTATCAAACGTTAAAATAAGTCTCGAATCTTAACTTGGGAGGAAAAACATTTTACATTAGAAATAGTGACTGATACAATAAGCTGTATTCTGTTTGAGTCATTTGTCACTGACATTGTGTTTCGAAGGTCAGCATGCTGGGATTATTACTGGTAATAAATACAGTGATATGGAGCATCAAAGATTTTCCCAGATGGCTAAACTCTTACATAATTCCAATCTTTTGAAATGTGTAATCCCAAAGGGGAGTTTCAAAGTGATACAGCTCAAGATCAAGTGACATTCAAAGATCCTGAATATGTGGACAACTCTCTCCTAGGTCAGGATACAACAAATCCTCCCATACCTCGCCTCAGGATGTCGAACTGGTAAAGCAGGCTGGAGGAGCGCCGGTTGAAGACGACAGGCGGACGGCTGTTGTTCCGGGTCGCTGCACCGATCCCTGACTGATAGAGACTGGACTTCCCCGGCCGGTTCTCCTCAGGGTCCAGCCGTCGGTTGGGGGGATCTCTGCGCGGGGAAGGGGCCGGTTGGTTTGGCTGAGCCTGAGGCTGTGTGTGGGGTGGACTCCTGGGTCTGGAGTTGGGGTGTCCTTCTGGTTCACTCTGCTGAGGAGGACTGATGTTGGACTGGGTGTCCTGCTGGTTGGTTTTCTGCACAGTGCGGTTGTTGTTGGTGGTGGCGGCAGCTGCAGCTCCTGTCAGCGGGATTTTGGGAAGCATACCAGCAACCTCACCTCTGGTTTTCTCACTGTTGTGCTCCACCAGACGGTCGCTCTTGGGGCCCTTTTTGCTCTTGTTGTGGGGACTGTGGTGGCGAGGGATGGGAGCCAGGTCACTGTGCTTTGGCCAGACGGCAGAGGGTAGAGGATGGAGGGTGAATTTGGACTCGCCGGTCTTGCTGCTCTTCTCTAGAAGCTCATTGATGGGCAGGGAGGGCTCTTTAACCACCACCCGGCTCTGGTTGCCCGGAACTGGATCCACAAAACTGGTCTGACCCTTTTCTATCAGGGTGTACAGCTCTGGGTTGATGCAAACAAACAGTTAGACAGTTCCTTCATTTTGATATCAAAGCCCCTCTGCTCCTATAGAGGAGTGGATTAATTTCATCTAAATGATAACTGTGGATGTTCCTTTAGTTTTAGGCTTTAGGGAATAAACCAAATATTTGTATTTATTAACTTTAATCATGAGAACTTTATTCTACAATATGCTACTCATTTACTTTAGCATGTGTGGGCTGGAAACATCTTACTTGATAAGAATCTAAATCTAAGATATTACTTTTTGAAATAAGGTCCCAATCCATCAAAGTTATAAAAGGATATCTAAATCACCTTAAAGGCCTCATTTTAATATTTCCATGGTAAATTAGAAAAGATTATTACACATTTTTGTAGTTTTCTTTTAGAAATATTTTGACAAATAACACTATAACACTTATTATATTGGTGGGATCCAAAGCTACAGATCCCGCAGTGTTAAACCGAAGTTAATAAACCTCATGAAGCATGTTGTGCTGATGTTATATGATCATATAATACTGGAACAGTTCATTTAAAAATGCAGGTAAAGCAACGAGTGAGCGTACAGGTTTTCTCCAACACATACAAACGCACACAGTTACAAATCCATTCGGAGTAATAGAAAACGTTTAAACTCACCATTGACAACATGCTCCTCTGTCTCGTAAAGAGGAAGCCCGAGAAATAAGAGAAACAGAATAATCCCTGTCATCCTGGATGCTCAGTGCGCACACACGTTAAAGTCTGCTACAGAGCTGGGATTCCTGGGATTTTTATACGGGCTGCTCAGGAATGAAACGGGATGGGGTGGAAAGGGAGGTGGTGGGACGTCCCTAACACAGAAATAAACACTTTAACAGGACACTCCTTTCATTCATAAATGGATTCTAAAAAGGCTTCCATTGTTGCTTACAACCAGAGAGGGAAAATGTGGTTTGGTAGATAATCTCTGTTGTTTACCAAGTAAGGGTTTATGTAAAAAGGGAAGTAGATTTAACTTCTGGTACCTGGTGTCCAACAAGTGTTTAAAATCTTCTGCGATGATGGTTTACTTGCTTGGTTTCTTTGGATGTTTTAATTTTTAGTGGACAATATAAAATACGCTCTACTTCAGAGCAAAGGCAAGCGACTTCTCCTCTTCCATTAACCTGCGGTGATGCTGGGTGGAGGGGGTGCGTCAGTGTATTTAGAGTCATGTCTCTTTACTGCCCTCAAGTGGTCGCAGTCGACAAGTGCAGCACATCATTTGTCTCCTTCAAACAAACTGCCACAAATACTCCTCAGAGCAAACAATTTCAATTAGTAAAATAATCTGAATAAATTATTTTTTTAAAAGGATAATGTGTCTTATTAAAGTGTGTGAGAAGGGATTATTATGAAGTCAAGTATAAATTTAAATAATTTCCCCCTGGGATTATTAAAGTATTTCTGATTCTGATTCTGAAGTAGATTTAATTATTATTTTTATGTCTTAAGGATTTTACAATTAGTTTGTTTCTTCTTCAAAAACAGGAGAAGATCTTAAACTTGTGTAAAGAATATTTTACTATATTTAATACTTTTACAAGATATTCAACCTCTTTGTCCTCTATACAAATGGAAAGCTGTGATTGGAAAGTTGATATGTTTCAAGCATTTTTTAACTTGCATTGTTAAAACATTGCTCAAACAACAACAACAACAAAAACTTTATTTCCTTTGATGCTGTTTACAGCATCATTAATAACCGCCAGTCGGTGATATAAAGCTATATTAACAGACATATAAAACATCAAAAGGAGGGCAAACAGGGACGAATAATGATCTCATTGGCGTTCCACGAGCCAGCGTTGATGCAGATACTAAGACAGATACAGATGCAGGTAGTAAGACTTTTGGATCATGAAATGATTGGGTTGTTGTCTTGTTTTAGTGGTCACAGTTATTGATGACCAGGATGTGGTAACATGTTTACTGATTGATTCCACTAGGAATTAAGATTGATATGGGTTTGAATTGTGTGTGAATCATGAAATCAATTCTGGTAAATGCTTTTAAAATACAGAGCTACAAAATCCTGACAATTACAAGGCATTCAATCACAGATGCTCTTGTAATGAGTAATTTATGCTGCTTTCTCTTATATACAGAATAATAGGTTTCATTCTGGAGAGACCTATTCGGCAGAACTGTTCCATTTTAAATGCCACATTACTTTAGACTTATTTTACCTTGGTTGGCATTAAAAGTTGAGATACCCCCCATAAATAATGAACATACTGATTGGCTTAAGTCTGGCTGTTAACAGCATTCATATCCGGTCTCATCCACTATTCCCTGTCTAGAGTCAGTTAGTGCAGTATGAATCAATTGCTTGTTTTAGTGGCTGTTCCTATATTTCACCGTTCAATTCCCTGGGAAAAGCGACTTATATTTAGGCTCTGAAAAGGAAGTTAAATGCGACCCAGATGGGACTCGAACCCACAATCCC